GACACATCCACAGGCTTCGAGCAGAAATTTGATGACATATCAGCAACCAAAACACCACTCTGAGGAACAGGGTACTCCTTGTACTCAACCCCGTGAATAGTCTCATTGGCACAAATATGCAAATACCTGGAACCCCGATTCTGCTGCAAATCGCCAAAAGACGGAACCTTTGTGTACTTTTCGGATTTCCCAGACCAGATCACGTTGGGTTTGCAGTACTTCTGCGCCTCCTTGGCCGCCTTGTCGCTCCAGGAGCCAGTGACGATGTAGTCGACGGCGTCGTCAGGGGAGCAGAGGTTGAGAGGCACGGCTGCGAATTGGGTTGTGGCGCCGCCCTGGAGGAAGAGGACGGAATACTCCGGCGGGATCTGGAGGAGGGTGCGGAGATCCGATTCGGCCTTTTGGATTATGGAGAGAAACTCCTTGCCGCGGTGGCTCATTTCCATAACGCTCATGCCGGATCCACCCCAGTTGTAGAGCTCGGATTGGGCACGGAGGAGGACCTTTTCCGGGAGGGTGGCAGGGCCGGCAGCGAAGTTGAAGACGCGATCTTGGGCGTGGGTGAGGGGTGGGGGTTGGGTGTGGAGCTGGGTGGTGCATTTGACTGTTGTTGGTTTGAAGGAGGTGGGGCGAGGGGAAGAGAGGCGGAAAGGGGTGGTGCGGGTTTGGAAGAGAGCGGTGTGAGGAGAAGTTGCCATTGACATGGTTACGGTGATGACGAAGAAGAAAATTAGTGTTTTGAGTTTGGTGTTCTTGGAAACGGAGAATGGTGTTTGAGGCAAAGATCTAAAGAAGGAGAAGCGAGCATTTATAGTGAGTCCCACATTGGGCATGTATTTGTTAGATTTCATTCAGTATTTGATTTTCTTTTTCTTTTTTAACTTGACAAAAAGAGTGTATAACATTAATTTTCTTTTATTTTATAAAAATTATTCACTTTTTTTCCTCATCATTGTTTTTATTTTCGGATATATAAATGCATGGAAAAATATGTAAGATGCAATTTTAATTTCTTATGTTTTAAATTTTATCATAGAATTTACGTTTTAAATTAGTTGCCTAAGACATCTTTTTGATTCATGTTCTTGTGTGTTAATTAAACTTAAAAATTTCAATGCATATTTTTATTTTTAGTGTTTGTATGTCTACGTTTCTTATGATCTACTATATTTTTGGTCATTTTTATTCAACATTGCTGTGGTTTCTTAAAATTTATATAAATAATATAATGAGACAATTTGTATGTCTTTAAAATAAGTAAAACAAAAAAAAATATGCTCCAAATTGAAAATAAGTACTGTTTCAAAAAGACAATAATAAATCAAATTTCAGAGTTAAAAGACTACAATAAATAATTTTAAAAATTAATTTTTATAAAAATACAAAAATATCATGAATATATTATTGCGTTATTAAATGTATTTTTTTAATACATCCAACTTTGGGTAAATACAGTGTAAAAATTCATGTCACTGTTAATGCATACGTTATCTTCTTTTCTATAATATTTATTTATAATAATCTTTTCATCTCTTTTAACGTTTATCTTACTATTTTTTTGTATTTTGTTTTTACTATCTTTTGTTAACCATTAAAATAAGCAAGTTTGTTGCTCATAACATCGGTGATAAAGAAAATGTCACAATCGTATCCACCAGTGCAATGCAATTTGCGCAAGATGCTTTGGGTTGGTGGCGAAAAGTTGGTGTAATTATGTAATTAGAGACAAGGAGAGGGAGTGAGAGGTATCATTTGTGTCGATAACTAGGGACGACAAATATAGTTGTTTTTTTTTAACTATGTGTTTTAATTGAAAATTTTCCGTTTGATTAGATGTAAATACTTATAAAATAGTATTTTAGGATTGATGATATTTTCAAAATATTTTAATATAAAAAAAGTACAAAATGAGTTTTTTTATTTTAAAAACTTGATATCTTTTTAGAAATCATTTTTTAAAATATTTTTCTTCTATCTAGATTATCTCACTTTTATTATTCCATTTAAATATATGAAAGTATTAGAGTGATCATCGCGACAAGTTCTTCAAATTTAATCCGTCAATATTTAATTTGAGTAAGTAAAGTTTTTTTTTTGTCTTTTCTTAGTTTATCGTTATTCTTCTTGCATTCGAGTCCTTCTGGCTAGCATGTGGTACTAAAATATTCAATGAGATTCTCTATTAATCTATGATCATAACGGTATGATTTGATTATATTCTTAATGTTTCTATGCGTCGATAGATTGTTCTATGATATTGGAGGTGTTGAGTTGTCTTAAAACATTTTGAACAATTTGGTAAGGTGAGAGAAGCTAATTTTTGTTCTTAAGTGATTTCTTCAATTGATTTTAGTGCATAATATGAATTGGTACTGTTATGATTTAATTGATATGTTTGATAATGTGTAGACGATTGAATTAAATGTTTAGAGCTATGATTGAACACATGTGGTGTGATAAAACGGTGAGAAATCATGTTTTGTGCAATTGAGTTATGAATTGGTGAATCTGGTTGCATAACTTGTGAATGATACGTTGTTGTGTTTTGGTTCAAGTGTGAAATGTAGGAAGTATGAAATTTGGTTTAGTTGTTGTGTTGAATGTCTCTTGGAGATTTGAATTGGGTAATATGGCACTGGTTGAGTTAAAAACTATGATTTTGTGATCTTTAAAATGTTTGATACTATGAATTAGTTAAAGGAATGTCAAATTTTACAAGTTAAACTCAACAAGGGATTTTTCTACAAATTGAGATGGTGTTGGACGCCACTTATACATTTACTTCTCTAATTTGGTTGTTGTTGAACAAGGGTTTTTCTCGCTAGACAACACCAAAGTTAGAGAACTCGCTGACTTGATGTTCCTAGACACCAATCAATATCTTGGGTGCCAAAATAATTAATTAAATTTTAGAAGCTTTAGGATTATCACTACTACATGTTTAAATGATATATATTTTCTATATTAGCTTACTCTATTCTTCTTGTTAGCTTGTTTTGTGTTGTGTTTTTCTTATATAGTGATCACTTCTATTAGTGTGAGTAGATAATGAAGTAGAAATTAAGCTACATATAGGGGGAGATGGTGAGACAATGGTATAATTCTAGGATAATAATTCTAGTTCTATAGGTTCTTTTGAAAAATTAAATGTTTTCTTTACGTAGTTTTTGGTTTCCTTGGGTTGTATATATTCATATACTTGTCTTGTCATTCTCGTTATGTTAGGAATAATTACCCTCTAATTATACATTATGTGTTTTTCAATATTAATTATTAATATTTTATTTTAGTAAAAATATTTTATTAAAATGAGATGTTACACTATTTGAATAATATTTAATATTTTTAATTGAGTATAAAAATATGAATATGTATATACATATTTGTTTCTGTATTATCATTTTTATATTTATTTAAATTATTAAAGTATTTATAGTTTATTAAGTAATTATATATATATATATATATATATTCTCAATTATTATTATAGTGAAACTAAAGTAAATACAATTTTTTTCTTAAGTGACAATCTATATCTTTAACAAGATCTTCGATGATATTATTTTGATTGTAAATTGGTCAAGTAATATTTTTAAAAGTTTAAGTAATTGTTTAGTTTAATTATGCAAGGAAATGATACAAGTTAAAGTTAAATTATAATATTTAGATTGTAACTGAATTATTATAAAGAATTTATATTGAATGAATGATATGAGTTTACTTGAAGCTATGTATTTAGGATGGTATATTATTCGTAGTTATGCATTTAATAAATGATACATAATTAAGAAATATATTATATTTTCGTTGAGTGCCATGTCTTAATAACGTAGATTAAGACTTGGGATGATGAGAAACTAATAAAAAATATATTGTACACCCAAAATATGTGTTTAAGATTGGATGTTTTAAACTTACTTTAATTCACAATTTTGCGATTTATTTATAGATTAAAAGTGTAAATTAAATCAAATGCCAGTTAAAATATGAATTCATATTAAATTATAGTTTTTATTTATAGTCATAAACATATAATCAGTTTATAATATTTATTTATGTATAGTTATTTTTGTGTTTAATAATTTATCATTCTTTCATTGTTTGAAAATATTGTCATTATATTTGTTACATATCCATATGTAATGTAAGGTTGTAATCACCAAATTGAAATTGTAAAAAGTTAATAAAATTCATATATGTTTCTTATTACTCTACTTTCAAATGAAGTACTATGTTTTTAAAAAATATTTATTTTGCATATTTTAATTTGGTATTTTATGTTTGAAAAATATTTTTTTTATTTTTAATTAAAATGTTAAATAGATTAATAATATTTGTAAGTCAGCCTTGATGAACTATTTAACATTTTTTTATTAAAAATGACCAATAAATGTTTTTAAGAATATGAAGCAGTAAAATTTTAAAACTTAATATGGTAAAAAAAAAAGGTAACATTTAGCCATAACATTAAGTATTAATAAATTAAATAAATAGATATTTTATCTTTGCATCTTTTTAGATTAAGCTTAGATAAATTAATGTAATCAAAATTTTGTACTAATCCATCCAATTAACACTCGTAGATATTTTATTTTCAGTTCATAACATAATTTTTCTACTTTTTTTGTTGGACCTTTTTCAATTCAATTCAATTTTGTATTCTTCACTTTTAAAAATATGCGACTTTCCAAGAAAGATCGAAACTGATGTTATATCGTGTGCATATGCAAGATGGTTGGTTGACGGGTCACTACCCAAACATCTCTCTCAAACCATTGTTTTAGTCACAAGAAAAATATTTTTTAAATGCAAAAGTTTATATAACATTTTACCAAGGGATGTCTATTAAATATGTTAGGTTGGATTTTCATTATGTGTAAAAAAAAAAACTCAAATTAAATTAAATTCATTTTGTTTCATTTTGATCTAAGTGAAGAGGAAAAAGAGAAAAAATTATACGATTGTGTCAAGAAAATTGCGATTCTTATTTTATTTATATAATGATTAGACGAAATTTATTAACTGATTTAGAATATATGAATTTTCATTTTGATTATTAAAATCATTTACCAGAAATTTGTGGTTAGAAAAATCAGCCACGCACAATTATTTTATTTTAGGTTTTTTCATATTTGAAAGCAATCACTTTTAGATTTTTTTTTTGCACTTTTGTTTGATTTTTTTAATCATATTTAATCTTATTAATATTTGATTGACTGATTTTTTTCATAAATTTTTATTTTTTTATTAAAAAAATCAATATTAAAAATATTGATATTTTTTAGAATTATTGTTGTTATTTTTTATTGTTATTATATGTTTCTTATATATTTTTACAAGTTTGGAGATAATTATTTCACAGTATATTTTGATATTTTTAGTTGTTGTATTCATGTTTTTCCATCAAAATACAGTTTAAAATTTAATAAATAAGAAATATATTGTTGAAATTACGTTAATAATCACGAAAGTGATCACTGATCATACTTTTTATACTTTCGATTTTATGCCCTACTCTTTTCCAAATATAAAAAATTTAGTCTTTATTATTTTGTATCCAATAGTTACAGTAATGGTTTGATCATGATGTTAAAAATAAATGTAAAATGTTTTATGTAATACGAATCAGAAATATTTATTATTTAAACTGTAAAATGTTTAACTAATTATATTAAATACTTTTAATGTAAGGAACAATTCTTAAAAATTTAGAAAGAAGGATTTAAGAAATATGAAGAATGAGTATATTATTTAGAAAGATTATGATTAGAAAACTAAATATATTTTTTTCTATTATTTCTTAAAAATATTTGAAACTCGTTATCTCTTACTT